CGCCCCACAGCGCGAATCGTTTTTTCTGGAGTTCCTGCCAGTCCACATCGTTCGCGTGGGCATTTATCAAGATTGCAAGCTAGTGTATAAGAATACTGGTGTCTCTCCTGAATTCGAAATGCTGAAGTTGACAATGGCAAGAACAGAGTGTTTTCAAAATCCTAAAATGCGCTATGTGCGGCGCATATTGCTGCGAATATAGCAGGTCTGAAAACAGCAACTTCTCTTGTCGTAGCTACAGAAAGCAGCAAACTTGAGGCAGAATTCGATCTGAAGCAATTCTGGATCCTGGAAGGAATTAGAATTACTCCCGAACGTGAACTCAGTGATGATGACAAAGCCCATGAAGCCTTCCAGAAATCAGTAACGTTCGAAGGCGGCAGGTGTGTGGTATCATGGCCTTGGCGCTCTGACCCTACTCAGCTCGATCTTCAGGAAGACTGGGGCCTGGCGTACGGACGCCTCCGGTCCTTTCTACGCCGACTCTCAAAACAACCAGAGTAGCTTGAGAAGTATGACAGCACCATCAAAGAACAAGCTACCAATGGTATTGTAGAAATGGTGGTACAGGACCAGCCCAGTGGCCCAGTGCATTACCATAGACAACATCGTAGTGTACAGATTCGCACAAGTGCCCTTCGGAGCGATCTCCAGTCCCTTTCTTCTGGCAGAGACAATCAGACATCACTTGTCATCCCAGTCGAACGATGAGCAGGTCAGCGAGATCGTTGACAATACGCACGTGGACAACATCCTGATCAGCAAACGCACCACCACCGACGCGCAGTTTTACTATGCCTACGCAAAGTCAGTCTTCTCGTCTGCTACTATGAATCTAAGGGAGTGGGCATCCAACGACAAAGAATTTGTTGCCTCCCTACCAGCAAATGATAAGTCGACCTCGTCCACCCACAAATGTCTTGTAATGAACTGGGTCACAGCACTAGACACTCTCGCCAAGAGTCCATAACCCCCAGAGTGTGCAACACCACATAGACATAGTCTGTCGCGACAGGTTTTCAACATTACGTCATTTTCATGTAGCTGCGCGTGCAGGCCGCGACATTCGCTACATGAAAATGACGTAATGTTGAAAACGAGTCGTGACAAGACCCTATCGCGCGTTGCACACTCTTGTTTATGGACTCTTGATCTCGCTATTAGCAGTACCCACGCATCGGAGAGACTACAGTCCATTCAGAAAAAAAGACGAGCGCTGGCTCTGGAGAACTCCCGTGCTTGGAGATTTTGTGGTACACTGTGCAGTGCCGCGCGATTCGAAACTTGAAAAAGGGTCCAGAAAAGGAACCTCAACTGGGGTTTGAACCGCAAACGTACTGTTATGCAAGTGGAGTGAACGGCCTGGATTTTCATGATTTTACCCAATTCAGTGCTTTGGGGGCAAAACCTGGCCGAAATCCTATTCCTGTTATGCCTTGCTTTTTTTGGAGAAATAGACTTCAAAAACAATGAAGCATCATCCGACATTGTCTTCAATAAGACTCGAGCGGCACCTTTGAAGGCCATTACAATTCCGCGACTAGAGCTTCTAACGGCTCTTATGGGTGCATGCGTCATCAAGTTCCTGAAAGGTCAGCTGCCAGTACACCGAATTTGTTTACATTCCTATTCTTCTTGCGTTCTTGGCTGGATCGAAAGCAAGAAGACACAACCAGCATTTGTGGAGAAGCGACTTGCAGAAATCCGCGAGAACCTGAGAGTCAAGTTCAATCATGTTCCCAGTGAACTAAATCCTGCTGATATGCCTGCTGATATGCCGTCGCGTGGTCAACCACCAACAGCTAACACTACAGATCTTTGGTGGCATGGCCCACCTTGGCTTCGCACCTGTACAGATCACTCTTTTCCTTTGCCTGAGGAGGGTCCTCCGGAAGTGCAGCAACCCAGTTTCAAGAAGCCTCTACTTGCGTTGCTACAGATCACTCTACTCCAACACCCAGTGGTCCATTTGACATCGACACTACCCGCTTCTCGTCATTTCATAAGCTGATCTCCATAACTGGATGGGTACGCCGGTTCGCCAACAATTCGAAAGCAGGAACACCTCAAAACGAGTCGCCAGTTCTAACTTCTTAGGAGCGAAGAGGAGCTCGAGATATGTGGATTGGGCATATCCAACAGTCAGCCTATGGACACGTGTTCAGTGACATCAAGAAGAACAAGAAGAATGATTTGATCCGTCAGCTTCAACTGTTCGTCGACATCACCGGTTTGCTGAGATGCAATGCCAGAATAGAAAACTCCAACACCTTGTCTGAAGCCGCCAAGTTTCCACTCTTGCTCCCAAGACATGCCCTTACCAGCCTAGTGATTCGTCAAGCACATGTGGAGCAAATGCACAGTGGGCGATTGCACACTCTTGCACGGCTACGTCAGATATATTGGATTCCCAGCGAAAGACGAACTGTGAAGAGCGAGATTACACAATGTGCGGTGTGCAGGCGCGTACGCAGGGTCACCTCTAGGGGGGTTTCCAACCGAATCCAAACAATGAGTTTTAAGTTTTAACCCTTTCTAAAGAGCCCTAGGAAATTTTCAAAATTATGCATTTTTTGGTGTTGTTTGGATCATAACTTCAATTCTACTCACTCAATCTTCATTATCTTGGGCTTCCTGGAAGTGGAAAGGTACCCGGATGAGAAGGAGCTTGACCATGATAGCCAGGACACAGTACAGTCATTCACATATCCAGCGCTATAGGCTATAGCGGTAGAGTGCAGCGACGGTTCGAAAAATGCCTCAAACAGCCCCAAACGCATCCTGCTCCAACGATTTCGTTTTTCTTGATCGCAGAGTTTCGATTTTTTTGCCTTATGTGCTCTTGAAAGTATCACTAGTGAAGCCCCTGCAAATTTGAGCAAATCAGTGCGACGAAAATCTCAAAATCTCGATACTCAAGTCGCACTGTGCGCTTTTGAAATTGCCGAGATCGCGGCTCAACTTACGAATGATTTATCTCACGATTCATTGCTCGCAGCGATTCGCAAATTGTTTCAACCGACAGCTAAGAGTTTTCTATTTGACCTGGATATTTGGAACGTTGGATTTGAGCGAGATTTGACTGAGTTACGATCTTTTGAAGTTTTGCCATTCTTGCCAGATCGATAATGCGCCCTACCAAAAAATGCCCAAAAACGTTGCTCGTTTGGAACATTTGGGGAGTTTCCGGGCAAAGGGGAACCCCCTGCGCACGTGCCTGGGTGTGTCGCAAAGTCGAAGGTGGACCCTTTGCAACCCCACAGATGGCACCCCTACCAACAGAGCACGTAAATCGAGCAGTTGCATTCTCTAGTTGCGGAGTTCGACTACTTCGGACCATTGCTGGTGAAATCCGAGTTCGGTGCGAAGAATGCATGAAGAAATATACTCAGTACAGTATTATACTCAGTACAGTATTATACTCAGTGCAGTATTATTATAATATACTCAGTGCCGTATTATACTCAGTACAGTATTATACTCAGTACAGTATTATACTCAGTGAAGAAAGCATGGGTTGTATTATTCACCTGCTTCGTCACTCGAGCCATTCACCTGGAGCTAGTGAGTGATATGACCGCCGATCAGTTTATTCTATGTCTCCGTCGGTTTATTGCGCACCGTGGATGTCCTTCTCATATGTGGTCTGACAACGCCCCACAGTAGCCGACCAAGCCTTACGGCAAGCTTGGACAGACACCACAGAAGATGCCGATGTCCAAAGCTAGGCAGCCGGCCAAGCCATCAAATGGTCGTTCATCGTAGAACATGCCCCCTGGATGGGAGGAGTATACGAGTGCCTAGTTTGCGTCGTTAAGCGGGCGCTGAGGGAGTCAATTGGCTGACGCTGTCTATGGCCGACCCACCTGGACACCGTACTAAGTGAAGCAGCTGCTATCATCAACACTAGACCGTTAACTGCATGTGGGTCTTTGGAGGAAGGGGAGGCTCTGACTCCGGCTCATTTTCTAGTTCTTAGGTCTCTGAGCTGTCGGCGGTGAAAACAGTCAAGTCGCTGAAAGACTGCCTGGGGCACTCTCCATGTCTCACAGTTGTAAAGGAGGTCAGGCAGCACAAGCGAGCTGTGCAGCTTGAGCCTGGACCTTTCTGACACATGCTTGTGCCGCAGCCAGAGGCTGCACATGCTAATGTATGCCTGGGATGCCAGCAAAATCTCCTGTCGATACCCTCAGCACCCCCCATAAGAGAACCAAGCTGCTTGATGCTCCACCAGGACGTAAAGTGCCCCCATTCCATTCTTTCCTCATGATGACAGCTTCCTCCATAAATGCGGAGCGTGGGGAATGCCTTTGGCAAATGAGAGTTGTTGCATTGGCTAGCTGTACATCCCAGCAAGCGGGAATGTGCTGGTTATCGATACTACACAAACAAAACAAAAAATCGCGGTGGTGAGTCTGAGCAGACCAGGAGGTATGACAGCTTTGTATACTAAAAATGTACAGTGCGTATGGTGAAACAATTCGATACTGTTTTCCAGCGAAATGTTGTAATCTATGTACAATATCCTCTAATATCCTTTCTCTAGGGCCCAAAGGCTATCCAATTCACCAGGCATCGTGGTCTTACTGTTTTTTTCTCCGCATTTTGGGTTGAAATCTGAACATAAAAAGAAGCACTGATGACGTCATTCTGCTTATAATAGACATTTGATGTCGGAAATCGATGACAACTAACCCAGTGTATCGATACAGGCAGTTTGGTTGAAAAATATTGATGTATGCCAAAGTTATTACCAATACATGTTTTGTACATACATGATCTCCTTATTATACCTGAATACGGGAATTAAAACAAAATGAACATCGACTCACGTATTTCACACACAACACGTAAACGCGCTGCTAGGACATGTGAATTGCCATATGTGGTTAATGCTTTGTTCTCGGCATTTGGCAATCCTCTCCATGCAAAGACATTACGAGGGGAGCAGCCAGCTTGGAACGACGATTCAGAGAGAATTGTGCCATTGTTCCTGCTGCACAGTGCTTTTGCTGAAGTGTAATTCAAGTAGAGGCTTGAAGGGATTGATACACTAGTTATGGCCGATGATGCTGGGCAAAAGGTATTCCCACTCAGCTCTGGAGTCACACGCACACACACAGGCACACACACACACACACACAGATGCGCACACACGTGCTAGATCCTGAATTCGAAATGCTGAAGTTGACAATGGCAAGAACAGAGTGTTTTCCACATCCTAAAATGCGCTATGTGTGGCGCATATTGCTGCAAAGATAGCAGGTCTGAAAACAGCAACTTTTGTCGTAGCTACAGAAAGCAACAAACTTGAGGCAGAATTCGATCTGAAGCAATTCTGGAACCTGGAAGGAATTGGAATTGCTCCCGAAAGTGAACTCAGCGATGATGACAAAGCCCACGAAGCCTTCCAGAAATCAGTAACGTTCGAAGGTGGCAGGTATGTGGTATCATGGCCTTGGCGCTCTGACCCTACACAGCTAGATCTTCAGGAAGACTGGGGCCTGGCGTACGGACGCCTCCGGTCCCTTCTACGCCGACTCTCCAAACAACCAGAGTTGCTTGAGAAGTATGACAGCACCATGAAAGAACAAGCTACCAATGGTATTGTAGAAATGGTGGTACAGGACCAGCCCAGTCTTGTCCGACGTGTGTTGTCCATTGTGTTGTCCGACCCGACAAACCTACAACCAAGGTACGCGTTGTCTATGATGCATCAACGAAGTCCAGTAGTTCAGCAAGCAGTCTGAATGACTGCCTCCATCGCGGTCCTTCTTGCTTCCAGATTTAGCTGGCATCCTCATGCGATTCAGAACGTTCCCAATCGGAATAGCAAGCGACATCGAGAAAGCGTTCTTACAGATGTCGCTCCACACAGAAGACCGTGGCGTGATGAGATTCTTGTGGCTCAAGGACATCACCCAGCCACGTCAGGCGAAATTTTCTGGTCAGTCGGCGACACGCATTTTTCACAAAATTTGCGTTTCACGCGCTGGGAGAGTATGCGTGTACTCGAGTCTCATCCTGAACACGTTTTTTTCTTCTTTTTTTCAGCTCCAGTATAGCTGTATTTTTCATTGCAAAGCCGTCCTCGATTGTTGTGTTCGTTGTTCAAACGAAGTGGACATTCAATCATGAAGGCAGAGGACATAGGAGCCTGATTGGAGTTTCTCGTGGCATAGGACGGCCACACAGAGACACTTCGGGATTTTCTGAATATAAAATACCGTACGCACGATGCTGAGATCAATTTGTGCGATATCAAATTGTTTGTGATCTACCACATCGAGCAGAACGGGATCCAAACACAAGCTTACCGACGGTTAGGCTGCCGACCTGACTGGATAAATGATCCCTGGCTTCACCAGACGCCAGAAGTCGGACACCATGTCCTTTGCCGCGACGTCCGTCTCCATAAAGAACTCCATCTTCCGTCGTGAAAAGGCTTGAAATTTGAAATTTTTTGTTGTAGCAGTTGCAGCGCAGATCCCCGCCACTACTTCAACAGAAGATGGCTCCAAAGCATGCCTGGAACAAGCCATATCGAGGTTGCAAGCCACCCCTCTCAGCACTTTTTTTGAAGAAATTCGAAATTTCAATGGTGGAAGATATACTATGAAGAGAATTTCAAAAAGTATGTTTCGCGGAGCGATCGCTCAACCTACGTCATTCAAACTTTGCAGGATGGTTCAGACGTACATGCTAGGCATGAAACCACAGAAGATGATATCATAGCTGACACACAGAGTCACACACACAGCAGATTCGTGTGCACAGATACTAAATTAGTGGACGTCGTCATCTTCTTCCCACTGATCTCAAATGTACTATGACGTGCTATTTCGCCTGACGCACCTACCGTACACAACACCGTAGTGTACAGATTCGCAAGAGTGCTTCCCACCGCGTAGAGTCGACCGCCCATGCATGCAGCTGTCTGGCGTTTTTTTTCAAACCAGGTCGAAATGTTTGAGGGGGCACCTCCCCCCCCCCCCTCTCTTCTACACCCGCCACTGAAAAGTGTGAGTGACACGACGTTTTCTTTCTGTTTACATAACACAGGGTCACGAGTGCGAATACACACAACTTCCAACACCTGCAATTGCTTGAAGAAGCATGTGTGCGCCTGTCTGGCTTTGCAGCCTGAACCATATACTGTACATACATCGATCAAAATCTCGAGACGCCCGTTCAAAGCCTATCCTGTGCATGCAATCCTAAGCTCCTTTTTGGTGGAACATTGGTCCGGTATTTTCCAGATCGCCCGCTATTACCCTGCAGCCTTTCCTCTAATTTATACTCAAAAAGACGGCGGAATGATATTATATGATGGCATGGCAGTTGTTGCCCCAGTGCTGCGCTTAGCCATGACATGTAAATTGTTGGTCATGTAGAAATGAAGAATGAAAGCAATGATCAAACATTTGGTATGTAGGGCCGCTGTATCCAGAGGAAACTGTTTATTGCTGCAACTGACCTGCGGTACTCTGGTTATTGGCAGAAACTTCACCAGTGAACACGTTTAGGATCACCACCAAGAAAATAGTTGAGAGAAGCCTCATCTGAAAACACATACAAACAGTCAAACACATGAATAAATGTTGGCATAAAAGCTGGCTACACCCACCCACAGAAATGTTACGTTATCGCGGCCATACACACACACACACACACACACACACACACACACACACACACACACTTGTACTTGTTGCTCACTGCCAAAACTGGTCACGTGGGCCTCCCCGGGAGAGGGGAGAGAGACTCAAAAGGAATCTTGGAAAGATGACTCAATTGGCCATTGAACCACGCAACACCTCAGTAAGTGGGTGAGGACAAGGTGCAGAAAAAGGATTGGCGGCATCAGGGTATCCGTCCCGGAATCCAACTGCAGTTACCCCTGCCCCCAGTGAAGGTAATACTTGGCACTAGTGTGGGTGGCTAAATCAGAGTGGATCTGATTATAAGCTTCTCTAGCACCATTGATTACACAAAAGTTAATCTAGCCAGAAGCAGTCCATGATTAAAAGTTATGTATACCGTAAAGTCGCGGATAAAAGCCGGGCTTATAAGCACATAAGCCACTTTCTGCATCAGGCTTGTATGCAAACCATGGTTATATGCACCACTGATATTTTTGCCAGGTGTGTATGCACATCAGCCGATCCGGGCTTGCATAGAAGCCAGGCTTCTACGCGCGACACGCGTAGATCTATCACTGACTGCCGGTATGGCGGCAGTTTTACTATGCACTGTACATAGCGCATGCACTCTTGACCTGCCCGATCCGGGCTTGCATAGAAGCCAGGCTTCTACGCGCGACAGGCTTATATGCATTGACTCGTTTGATTTTCAGGCTTCTATCCGCGATGTGCTTGTATGCAAACCCGGCTTTTATCCGCGACTTTACGGTACAGTCGACCTACCCCTATAACGATATTTGCGTCAGACCAAGAAATATCGTTATAAGGGTAATATTGTTATAAGGGTACTGGTTCATTTCATACATGTACATCATAATGCATGATTTTTTTCATTTTTTACACTCTTCATAGCATCAAAACCTAAGTGCATGTATGTTCTATGCACATTGTGTTCACAACAAGGCATTACTGGTGCCTCATTGCATTTCGTCATGTCCCAGCGACTTATCAAGTGACGTTTGCCCTACCTGGATAGGGGCCTCTACATATTCCTTGCTAGATATTGTTATGAAATGGAAAAATGCCGAGTGGTCAGCCCATTTTATATCGTTATAGGGGTAATATCGTTACAGCAATATTGTTATAAGGGTAAGGCGTTGTATACAAAAGTCAATGGAGTGATTTGGTTTGGCAGAAAAATATCGTTATAGGGGTTATCGTTATAAGGGTAGGTTGACTGTACTTCAAATAGACAGTATATGAACCCTGAAACCAACAAAGGTGGTAGGTACTACAATACACCTTCAAGCAGCCGAGCCCGTTCGCAACAGATCCTACACTATCTGGCATAAGTGTACCCGCCAACCGCGCGCAAGCGCGTGCACCCCCCCCCCCCCCCCCCACACACACACACACAAACATACACACACACACACACACACACACACACACGGTATTCTGGCTATGCGAACCCTATGGGGGGTTGAGCAGGTTTGGAACAGTAGGGGCGATGACGGGATAGGTCATGTGGTCTACTGAAACGCCGACTGCAATTGCAAACGATGCAGAAGGAGCTACGGTCTGTGTTGGTTGCTCTGGCCAAACCACGGCTGCACTAGTGACACTTCATGCCTTGGCACGATAGCACAGAGCGGTTGCAGTGGAAGCTGCAGCACTCGCAGAACATATTGTTTGTAACTGGTGACTCAAGTGTGTCAGAAGATGCCTTTGCTGATGTTGCTGGCGAGCAACATCAGCAACATCAGTATCTGCATCTGTCGCACTGGTCGCAGTGGCAACTTCCTGGCTGTTGGCTTACGGGTAGGGCACGCGTAGCTGTACACTTGTAACCAAACCAATGTGTCTCCTGAAGACATGCAATATCCACAGCCAGACGCGAAAGTTCCGCGGCGACCCGTTCGATTTTCTTATCCTCCACAACTTTTCCAGTTAAGCGGGATTCACAGAAACTTTTGTGCGATGCGACACGCGATGCGACAGACGCGAAACCGGGAAAACCCCAAATCGCAGCCATGTCGCACCCCACGCAACTGCCGCAACTGGGCCATCGCAGGCCATCGCAGAAGTTGAGCTTGGCTCAACTTTTGCGATGCGATGCGATGCGACAAGCGATTTGGTGTACGATTTTGACCTTTTCTACAGCAAAGTTGTACAAAGGTGCGCGCGGAGAAACTTGACATTGCGTGAAATCACGCGACACCTGTACATTTTCGATCTGCGGGATGAAGATGACGACGCCCATGCATTTGGTAGCAGGGAGTAGTAAGATACTGGTATATCACTACTCCATGCCTAAAATTGTACTGTCAAGGGCATACGGGGAGTGCAGCATGCCATCGCTTATGTAGTCAATTATGGACCACTAACTACAACTACCGTATTTCCCCGTAAGTTAGTTCTCCCCAATGACTTTGTACCCCCTATAAAAAATACACTTTCCACTGCCGAGGTTATCACCCCGAAAGACAGTTCCCCGAAAGATAGTAAGTTCGTACCCGTCCTACATGTACAGACACCGTACAGTACATACATCATATGCACGGACACTAGAGTTGCGCAGGCTTCCCACTGTGTGTCATTTATCCCCGATAAAAAAGTACTCCCCGAAAGATAGTACCACCCCCGAAAGTTAGTCACCCATGTGGCTGCTAAGTTCGAAAATTGGTACGTACTAACTTAGGGGGAAATACGGTACTCATGTTACTACTACTCTCAGTACACGCGTAGGGCTTTTAGAATGGTTATAATTACTATCTCGAGGAAAGAGACTGGAATATCACAAAGGACTAGACTAGGAGAATAGCACAAAGAGATCGATCCAAGGACTAGGCCTACAACAAAGGACTGGGAGAAGTACACCCCGCGCAAGCGCAGCCTTCAGGGTATAACTAAAGCTATGGAGGAAAAGGGGGGGCATGCAGTAAGTGGGAATAGGGTGAATGGGAAAATGGGTGCATACATTAAGCGAGACAAGGTGAGCGGGAAAATGGGTGCACACAGTTAATGAGACAGGGTGAGCGGAAAAAGGGGTGCATGCAGTTAGTGAGACAGGGTGAGCAGGTAAAGGGGTCAGCAGTGCATGCAGTAAAGGGAGGCAAAAGGTCAGCAGGGCAAAGGTCAGCGGGGAATGCATGCATGGGCATGTGTTCAGGGATGTAGACATGTATATGTGTACGGAAGTGTGTGCATACGGGAATGTGTACGGGGCTAAAGGGCTCATACAACACTTGCACTTTCCAGCTCAGAGTTGCCCTGGCTACCAATGGACAAGATTTCAGGGTCACAGCTTGCGTAATGGCTTTGTACTTTTGGAATGGCCACTCGACGTACTCAGCACAAATTCTCTATTGCATGCATGCACAATATGTTCAAATTTCGCATTTTTGGTGACTTTACCACCGTCATGGAGGCTGGTCGGTGAGGAGCAGGTAGCCATCGCTTGTGGAATCAAAAACATGGCTCCACTGTGTGGCTGATTCTGGAAGAGCCCGGAGAAACGTTACTTTCTCCAGACAAACAAATAATTCGATAGCCGTTTTGCTGCTCGTCAAGCCCTGCAGTTAACTTGGTTTCTTGAAGGGTACAGATGTCTATGTCGTAGAAAGAGAGGTCTCGACACAAGGAGTTCCTCTTGATCAAGGAACTACAAGTTACGCTATACTGTCCACTAACACCACCAGTTACTAAACAATCAGCTCATGCTATAAATTGGTCTTTCTCCTTTGTATAAAATTAATTAAACCTTGGTTCTCCATCTGAGTCCAAAAAAATAAACAATCTCTGAATTTAAAAGAGAAAAGGACATATGGATACGAGTTAAGAGTAACTCTCCATCACTGTAACATGATACTATATACAGTCAGAAAGTGCAATAACTAGGCACAAAACTGACAGAGTACTCGTATCCATATGTCCTTTTCTCTTTTACATTTATTTATGGCTCAACATCCGAGTTTCAAATTGCACACCTGATGAGCCGTCACGAACCATACGGCGAAACGTACGTCGTGTGAAACAACTTGTTTTGTAGTCAACTAGTCCATCACAATGTCATGCATGAGGAGTACTGTAGGAGTTTGGCTTTCGGCTTGTACAATTCGTTTTCGCAAAGCTTCCCTTTCTTTACTTATCTTTGATATTTATGACCCACCCAAGTTGGGTGGTGTGCTGCTTTGCTGCTTCGAATTGTAGTTAGACCGCTTTGTCAAATATCGTACTGGTCTCGTCATCGTCCAGTAACAATCGACATTCTTTGTTCCGTTGGGACTGTAGCTTTTGCTCGTGTTCGTTGCGCTTGCCTTCCCCTCTTTGGTCTTTCCATAACCGTGAACCTTCCAAGTTGGAAGGCTGTCGGTTAGCGCTACGGAGATGTGTTGAAGTTAGGTGTCAGGACGTCGAATGTCTCAGTACTCTGTCAGTTTTGTGCCTAGTTATTGCACTTTCTGACTGTATATAGTATCATGTTACAGTGTTGGAGAGTTACTCTTAACTCGTATCCATATGTCCTTTTCTCTTTTACATTTATTTATGGCTCAACATCCGAGTTTCAAATCTCTGAATTTCTCATCTTTATAGTTGTAGTCTCTTAGTTTTATTTCCATCATTCACTGTACTATTTTGAGATGAAGGGAACGAGACATTCAATACTTCTTAGGCATGTCCTAATTGACTGGTGGTGGGTTCTGGTGTAGATTCATGCGTAGACAAGACATGTTACTAATGTTGTCTGCCACTCTGCCTCAGTCCTTTTTTCAAATAATAGTTCTTTTCTACGTTCCATTGGGACATCCACCTTGGGCACCCTGTTAGAAGACCATAACGGTCTGTTCGGAATGCCCAAGTAAAGTAATAAAATACAATACAAATCACTAAACTCGGATTGAGAGGCAAGGATCAGAATTAAGAAGAAAGGGCCAAAGGTTTACAAGTTATCCGTGATGGTCCAACACTGGCAATTAGAAGCATGATATTGTTAAGCCATAACGTGCAACAGTTAGCACAATGATGGAACATTCAAAGTCGGAAGGCTGTTAGAGTGCGCATTTGAAATGTAATGGAGCTTGACGTCAGATCGTTGAATTTCCGTGCTGCAGTGGTCATTGTTATTCTAACGGTCGCACGTTACGACTCATCAATATCATCCATATAATCGCCAGTGTTGAACAAATGCGGTTTACGTGTAAACCTTTTGGTCTTTTCCTCTTGACAATACAAATCGCAAATTATTATTATTATTATTATTATTATTATTATTAAACTCAATCTCGTAGCATGTGCACGCATTGCTAATGTGGGGAGCAACCCCAGAGATGAGGGCAGTAACCAGCCATGGTAAAAGTACACAAACCAATGCGCAACGGCATTGCTACCCAATACAAATCACCTCAAATAATCCTATACTCACTTAACCCTTTATGGACTGGCAAATTTGTACAGGAAAGAAGCGACATGCGAAAATCAGTACTAACTCGAAATCGGTGTACATTAGCCAATACAACACCATACATTTTCGGAAAGTAGATACGATAAGCTCCACCATCATCCTCCTCGCCGCCACTCTCGCTACTAGCAGTATCAGCAAAGCCATCAGATAAATAGTTTTCTTGACTTTCTGGGATATCATCATCACTATCACTGTCCACTTCGAACTCGTCGTCATCAGACTCGTCAAGTGGGTCGCCAGAACTGTCCTCATCAGAGTTCCAGTTCAGAATCATGCCGATGGCATCGTCCGCATCCATGCGAAGGCCGTTTCCGTGTCGTGCCATGACAGTACTCGTACTGCAATTTTAGTTCTGCATGCTCGCATAAGCTCTCAATTTTGTTTTTTGCGCCGCCGATTTGGTCAACATTTTGACTAAGGACCCCGGCGAATTTAGCACCATTGGAAAGATATGAATTTCGTCTTTCGATTTGTGTAAAAATATTGCCGAAAACGTGCGGTGCGCCCAGAAAATTTCGCGTCTCAAGTTTTGATCTTATCAGATTGAAACTTGAGCATCGAAACTTATCAGATCGAAACTCGTACAGTCCGTCCACAAAGGGATAACCTCTGCTCATACAATTTTCTCTGATCTCGAAATGTTCAGTCACGGTACTGATTTTATTGTGAGACACACGCTTATAGCGTTTGAAAATGAGTAGAGCATGCTAGAGAGAGAGAGAGGTTGTTGGAGAGCGGCTGGATAGCAGGGTAGTGTAACAATAAGAGCACTAGGGGAAGGCTAGATTTCATGTATCTAGACATCAACAGAGACTGTGCGAAAAGCCAGTCGATAGCACTAAAGAGTAAAGACAACTACAGCACTGCTCAATAGAATGCAGTCGCAACCTTCAAGTATGTACGGGGTGTTGCACAGCCCTACACCTGCAAACACTGGGCTGTGAATTGTGCGAGGCGCAAACTTGTGCGACATGACTGAATTTCATTGAGCAGCAATGTGCAACACAGTCAATTGCTTCAGATAATCATGACAGACTGCACAACATGGGCAGACGAACGGGAACACATATGTTTGGCTGCACTGTACAACGTTTGTACTGTGGAACAGAAGTGAACAAAAATACGTGGCTGGTCAGCTGAGGTAGTCGACTGGTCCAGTGGCTTGTTTCAGACGGAAATATCTCGTGAGTCTTTTGGGAACAATCAATTGTTTCGGGAATTAAGGCCATGTAAAATATATTGATTGTTTATCATCAGATTTTCTCGAGAAATCGGGGCGGACGGGAGGTTTTTAATTTAATTTTTTATTATAGGGCAGGTGTTCGCAACCCCAGAGGATAATGGAAAGTGGAACAACCAACGTTACGTAGAAAAAAGAAGAAAACCAGGCAGCTTATGATCAGTTTCAATTTTCAAGTCCATAGCAACTAAGTTATGGTTCAGTCTGTGGACTTGACCTTCGAAAATCTCAACCGCAGTACATACAGTACATTTAACAGTATTGAAAAATAAAATAGTTCGGCAGGGAGGGTGAAAATTTGGGGCGGGCGCGGACGATAAACAATCAATTATTTTACTTGGCCTAATAATAATAATAACTTTATTAGGAAGACCCGAAGGCAAATCGCCTATCGAGAGGTTCACCGCATTGAATGGTTGTGGTATGACAAAGCAAAGAGGCAACCATTGTGTGCGAGGGAGGGGGGGGGGGGGAGTTTCGAACTATGCACAGTGAAGGGATAATTGTATGTACATGGCCAAGGATAGGGTAAACCGGACAAAGTGGCCATTTTTGGGAGCAACGGATTGGGAAGTATAACAGTATTGTGGTAATGAGTGCAAAATCATAAGAATTAGTTATAGGGGGATTCCCCCAGTACGAAAAGCATATTGTTGCAAGTGTTTGCCAAGAGTTTGATGGAACAGAGGAAGAGAAAGTAAATCATGACGAGGCGCAAAGCTATCATACTTCCGAGCACAATACAAAAATGTAATGTTGACAAGCCGACACACATGATCTGCAGGTCAAATGGCCCACAACGGGGAGCCGAACATGCACACTATGGCATTCGACCGATTTGTTCGATTTCAATATCATGGTCTTTTCAGATTTTCATTGTACAGTACCTATTTGCAGTACCTTCCGGGATCAGTATTTCCACTTGAAATAATATGCACCAAAATGCCTCATTCTCAGCATTCTTTTATTCGCTTCCATGTAATTGGGCTTATTGCCCGTTTGGTTTTGCGAATTCAAATAAAAAAGCAACAACAATTATCCAGTGTGGCCCTTCGAAACCCCAGATTGCTAACCAACCCCCTACCTAACTACGCGGGTGTCCAAAGATGTGCACTCTCTTACCTTGCCAGGCACACTTAGCATGATTCTTGTGTGATCTCCGGCTGGCGAGAGCGCTTTGGCAGAAGTTGGAAGGGCTTGGCCCAGCTTGGGAAAAACAGCTCTCCGCGTGTTCGAATGTTGAACTGAAGTGCGCGGAGCAAAGAAAAGCACCTCTTCAGTTGTCAATATACCAAAGGGCTCAGGTTTTGGTCCAAGTCCTTACCCCTCCACACGAGAACAGAGGGCCAAAGGCAAGCTAAAATCTTCCTCACACCGCGATTCAAAATTCACTGTCACCAGGAAGAAGAAGACTGTACTGGTTTGAAGCAGGGAGTAGTACAATACCGTGTACTACTCCCTGGTTTGAAGCGCTAAGCAGGGAGTAGTACAATACTCCCTGGTTTGAAGCGTACGGCAAACCGTACTTATCGCTGACAACCGAGCAGCAGGCAAAAGCCACGCGCTTGGCTAGGCGCGCAACAATAGGGTGTCTGGCCTGCAATGGCGGGCAGCCGTACTGGGGAAAGCCCAGGCCGCAGTACGAGTGCGCCCTTATGCGCGGGCGAGACCACCCCATGTACTTGTGTGTACTCTTGTGAGGCTGTGTTTACATGAAGCGTTTCAACCCGGGTTGAGTTCGACCCGGGTCAGATTTCAACCCGCCATGTGCACAAAGTGAATAGGGAGGTTCCGGAGTACGATTTTTCGTGCCAAAATCCGTGGAGGCTCTACGGATTTGTTATACGTCGTTTTCGAGCATTAGAGAGGTTCCGGGGTACGATTTTCCGTGCCAAAATCCGTATGGGCGCTACGGATTTTTTCCAGGCGTGCTCCATACGATTTTTCGGCACGGAGAATCCGTGTGGACTGGCTTTCATACGAACCATGTTTCGTATGGAGATTTTGCGTCATCGGGTGCAGAAAGATTTTTCGCGTACAAATTTGGTACGAGAAACATCGATTTTTCGCGGGAAGTTTTGATTTCGGTACAAATTTTCAAAATAAAAAGACATAGCGCGGGAATGTGACGTGTTTGCGATCGTAACCTAGGCAATGACGGCAAACACATAAGTTCCGTACCCCGGAACTTTTCACTGCTCGAAAACGACGTATAAAAAATCCGTAGAGCCTCCACGGATTTTGGCACGAAAAATCGTACTCCGGAACCAAGTGAAAAGTTCCGGGGTACGGAACTTATGTGTTTGCCGTCATTGCCTAGGTTACGATCGCAAACACGTCACATTCCCGCGCTATGCCTTTTTATTTTGAAAATTTGTACCGAAATCAAAACTTCCCGCGAAAATCGATGTTTCTGGTACCAAATTTGTACGCGAAAAATCTTTCTGCACCCGATGACGCAAAAATATCCATACGAAGCATGGTTCGTATGAAAGCCAGTCCACACGGATTCTCGTGCCGAAAAATCGTATGGAGCACGCCTGGAAAAAATCCGGAGCGCCCATACGGATTTTGGCACGGAAAATCGTACCCCGGAACCTCTCTAATGGCGCGTTTACATGACGCATTGCGCTTGACCCGGATTGAAATTTCGCCCCGGGTTGATTTCAACCCTCCCCCCAAGGGGAGGGTTGAAATCAACCCGGGTCAAGAAAATCGTACAAACGTACTTCTGTGCGTATCTCGCGCCAGGTTTGAACGGCACTGCAGATGCAAATTTCGCGCGAACGGATTCACGTGACCATACAGGACTGTAGAAGTAAAAGAAAAAGAATGTATGGCACCTATGAATTCAGGGGATGGCCCACGCCTGGTAAAAAGAAAAAGAAAAAAAAGAAATCATATGAACAAAGAAAACTAAAGAAAAAGAATGTTTGGCACCTATGAATTCAGGGGATGGCCCACGCCTGGTAAAAAGAAGTGGACTTTTGGCGGCATATCAGTATTTGACCCGGGTCAACTGTCTTCATGTAAACGCTCACCTCTTTTGTTTGTCGTACAGACTTTCAACCCGGGCTGAACTCGACCCGGGTTGAAATTTCTCATGTAAACACAGCCTTACTACAGTCCATTCAGAAAAAAATGAACTTCTAGCTTTTGGCCATAAATGGGTCAAACGTTGAGTTTTTTTAGAATTTTTTTCTGCAATCCCATATGGTATCCTCTTCCAATTATGTTTCTGAAGTTTTTTTGTCCAAAAAGCAAGCCATAGCAAGAATAGGATTTCGGCCAGGTTTTGCCCCAAAAGCACTGAATTGGGAAAAACCATCAAAATCCAGGCCGTTTGACCCCGCCTGCAACAGTGCATTCTGCGGTTCGAACCCCAGTTCAGGCACCCTTTTCGGACCCTTTTTCAAATTTCAAAGTTCGCAGCACTGCACTGTGTACGATGAAATCACGAAAAATCGCCAAATACGGGAGCTCGCCAGAGCCAGGACCCATCTTTTTATGAATGGACTGTACGTATACAAGCAGGGCTCATGGCGCCTAATTTAGAAAACCGATCCTGTCAGGTTTCTATTATTGTGTTCTCTATACAGTACAGTATTAGGAAGCAGTTCCTTTCATGGCACGAAAGGACTCCAGCACGCGTACTAAGCCTCAGCCAAGGTACAGTACTAACCGAGTACGCAAGATAGAACAGCCGGTGTGGTGGAGCAAACACACCACGTATGGAAGAGGCGAAGTCCCCGGATGCCGCCCGGTCCACAATGACAGACACCACCATGCTTATATGGGAAATAAGGCGCGAGAGCCCACCATGTAGAATGTACCAGGTAAGGCGGGCCGCATAATTATAAGCACGTGGCAAGCGCAAAAAAAGAGACGTACCCACGAGGCGAGGTATATTATGGCACCGCAGGCCGCGCACCTGGGAGCCTTTCTGGAAGCCTTACTCGATCGGATAGAGCGAAATTGCACATCAGAGGCTCCGCTCCATGTAACACTGTAGTGGCCCTACATTTTTACTGCATAAACAACCAGTTTCAAAGCTTCTTATTTTTTTTTTCTTTCGTTCCTACACCATAACACGCATGCTCGGCCAGTCCTTCCTCGGCCTTGTTTTTACTGCATTTTCTGCGTAGTTGTTTGCATTGCATGCCTCTTCGAGTTTTTCCAAAATAGCTCCACGATGGACGCTGTTTTGGATTTGCTGCATACCCTGGCGCAGCCAGAGGTACAATCTGCCATCGCGGCATCCGCCCACTCCCGCGGAAAACAAATAGGAGGCACCGTTTTGGGGTACGGTATACAAATTTCCTCAAATTCCGCACCCACGGGCGGATTAGAAACTGGTCGTGGCACCACCGCAGCCTCTGGCGGTCAAGAAATGGAGGAGGCTCGGAACTCTTCCAAAAGGGAAGGGAACCAGGATGACTCTCGGGTAGATGGCGGGGAGCCTTTTCGTTTTGTCTCATTGGCCGAACGTCGTTCGGCAAGCCTCGGTTTTTCCACGGACCGCCATTCCAGCAATGGCGGCCGGGGCCATACATGTATTAGGGGTGACGTCACTGACGTATCTGGGTCACGTGATTTACGTACAGATAGATCTAGATCATGCTCACGGGACAGATCTCCACCCCACTCACGATCTCCCCCTCGTTATCGTTCTGCTTCATGTGAACGACGTACACGTACTCGCCATAGACCGGCTGGTGCTACACGTACACGTAGATCTAGATCTAGATCTCAATCTGCGGACAGATGTCGGTCAGTGTCACGCTCGGGTGCTACGCACGAGTTCCGCCTGAGTGCCCGGGGACGACATGGGTCACCCAGACGCCGCGAGTCGCACCGTTTCACCAGGCACCGAGATAGTTCGGGCACTAGTTCTAGCTCTGGTACGTCAGAATCTGACGATAGTGACTCCGACAGTCCTAGTGGCACATGTCCGTCATCCGACGACTCGGCTGCCCACGAGCATCGCCGTGGTAGCGGCGCGGGCTTCGATCCTAAGGGGTTAGTGGACGACTCTGTATGGTCTCCCCCTCGCACATGGCCTCGTACCTACGGGAGCACTGCCGTGGTTCCCTGTCCTTCGCTGAGCGTCAACGGGTGCGGAAACTGTGTCCCCGACCGGACGTGGAGGAAACGCGATGTCCACGCGTGGACCCATTCTTGTCGGATGTCCAGGGCCTGGCCAATGCCAAGAGAGCGGATAGAATGCTGGCCAACATCCAACAAAAGGTTACGGACGTTTTCCGTCCCCTGGCCGCGCTCTGGGCTGCTATTGAGCAGGGCCGGCCGGTCCACGAACTGACCGAGCTGGTCCAGATGGCGATCGTCATGACGGGCGACGCCTCGACTGTATTGTCGGAGACACGCCGTCAGCGCCTCATGGCAGCGCTGCCAAAGAGATGCCCGAAGAGCCTGCTGCAGGGCTTGCGTCCTTCCGGTGATCTCCTCTTCGGTGATGGATTTTCCCGGGAGTATAAACGGAAGTGCCAGGAAATGGACGTATTCCAGCCACGGCCTTCAGGGCGGCGCCCGGGGACCGCACAGGACCGGTCGCAGCCTGCCCGTCCTGACCGTTTTTCTGGTCGCACCGTGTACCGGTCAGATCCAGGGCGGTTCCGCCCTTACGACAGGGCAGGACGGGGTCATGTCACCCGCCGGCCTGAGGAGCATTTCCGCCAGCCAGCAAAAAACGGCCGGGGCCAGCCCTTTCGCGGGCGCCCTCGAGGTCGTTGACGACCTCCCCCGTGCCTGGCTGCCTCACGGAAGCCCCTACCCCCCCCCAGGTAGCGGGCCGATTGGAGCATTTTGCGGCAGCCTGGCGAGACCTAACGCAGGATGCGTGGGTGTTGAAGACCGTCTCAGGTACTGCTTAGACCTCCACACCGTTCCTTGCCAGCGGTCCACTCCGACAGAGATGTGGTTCCCTCCCGAAAAATGCGCCACCGTCCACCAGGAGATAGAGGATCTCCTATCCAAGGGTGCAATTCGACCGGTGAGCCCATCTCCCGGCCAGTTCGTGAGCCGGTTATTCACCGTACCCAAGAAGGGTACCACCGCCGAACGTCCAGTCATCGACCTCCGCCACCTGAACGAGCACGTGCGGTACGAGCACTTCCAGATGGAGGGTCTCCACCTTGTTCCCCTATCCGTCCGAGAGGGCAATTGGCTCACAAAGCTAGACCTCAAGGACGCGTACTTCACCGTGCCGATCCATCCCCAGCACCGCCGGCTCCTGCGCTTCAGTTGGGAGGGCCAACTCTACGAGTTTCAGTGCCTACCGTCCGGCCTGTCCAGCGCCCCCCGGGTATTCACGAAGCTGATGAAGGTCCCGATCAGTGTTCTTCGTCGTCAGGGCATTCATCTCATCCTGTATCTCGACGACCTTCTCCTG